ACCCCTTTGAATATTCCACATCATCAATGATTCAAAATGTTAAACGTTTGTACATTAAGGCATACTTCAATGGAATAGAGATGAACATTGTGTTAGTGGACAATGGAGCAGCAGTAAACTTGGTTCTTCATTCATCTTTGAGAAAATTGGGCAAAAGGAACCCCAGATTGATCCCAACAAGCATGACCATTGCTGCAAGTAGATGGCCCAAGGCATACTATCTATTAATTTGAGTGTGGGGACAAGGGATTTTATGACTGCCTTTTTGTTATAGATAGCAATGCCAAGTACAATGCTTTTGAGCAATGGGAGATAGGAAATAAATGAAGACCCACAGCCCTTCATTGTCTGTGTAGATTTTGTAGAAGCAAAGTTGTATACTGAAGGAGTGGTTCCACTAAGCGTGTTGAGGAAGCTTGATGCAATAGCCGAAGTAACGGCTGATGAGGAGATGGCACACCTGAAACAATTAGTACAAGAAACTGTGGATGATGAATATGACTACATCATCAAAGATACCAACATTGATGCCTGGTTATGAGCAGGAGGATCAACAAACCAGACCATTGGCTTTAGTGAAGTTCTTTACATTGGACATTGAAGCAATAGTCCAGAAAGCTTAGGAAGAAAAGAGAAAAGCCATGAGGATTGGCTACAAACATAAGCAATAGGAAGCCAAATCATTGGCTCTAAGTAAGTATTGTATATTGGACATTGAACCAAAGTCTAGGAAATATAAGAAGAAAAGGCTTTGTGGACGGATTTCGTTTATGAAGAAGAAAGTAAAGATGATGAACCAGGAAGGTTTGTAGTTGATCGAGATAAAAAAAATGGCTTCGAAGGTTCAAAAAGCTGAAGGAGAAGCATTAGTAAGTACTTAGATGCAAGATCCATTGGAAGAAGTCAATCTAGGAGAAGCATCAATACAACAACCCACCTACATAAATGCTGGTTGGATTATTGACTCTCCTAAAGAAATATAAGGATTGCTTTGCGTGGTCTTATAATGATCTTCCTGGATTGGATAGGTCATTAGTGGAATATAGACTTTCAGTCAAGCCAAATTTTAAACCATACAAACAGAAACCTAAACAGATGAGTCTTGAGGTGGTTCAGAAGGTGAATGAAGAGGTTGCTAGGCTTCTCAAAGCAGGCTTTATCAGAACAGCCAAGTATGTTGAGTGGCTGTCCAATATCATGTCTATGATCAAGAAAAATGGCAAATTAAGAGTATGCATTGATTTCAGAAATCTAAATTTGGCAACTCCAAAGGATAAGTACCCTATGCCTATAGTGGATCTGCTGGTGGACAGTTCAGCAGGACATAAGGTCTTGTCTATGATGGATGGGTACTTTGGCTACAACCAGATATGCATAGCAAAAGAGGATGTTCACAAGACAGCTTTCAGGTGCCCTGGGAACATTAGGACCTTCGAATGGATTAAGATGCCATTTGGATTGAAAAATGCTGGGGCAACATATCAGAGAGTAATGAACACCATCTTCCATGATCTCATTGGAGGGTACTTGGAATGTTACATCGATGACATTGTGGTAAAGTCTCAGTCTATGGAAGAGCATCTTGTCCACTTGACAGTAGCCTTCGAAAGAATGAGGAAATTCAAATTAAAGCTCAATCCACTTAAATGTGCTTTTGGTGTATCAACTTGAAACTTCTTGGGATATATAGCGCACAAGAAGGGAATACAGATTGATCAGAACAAAGCGAAAGCCATCATTAAGGCCAAACCTCTATCAAGTAAGAAAGACTTGCAAAAATTCTTGGTCAAGTTAACTTTCTTCGAAGATTTGTTTCTAACACTGCTGGAAAAACTAAAGTTTTTTTCTTCTCTATTGAAGTCAAACAATGAAGAATAATTTAGGTGGGCAGCAAAGCATCAAGCTGCTTTCGAAGGAATAAAAGCCTATTCGGCCAAGCCTCCAGTGCTAATGCCACCAAGGAAGGACAGGCCATTGAAGTTATATATAGTTGTAGCTGAAGAATCATTAGGAGTCTTTTTGGCTCAGGACAATGAAGAAGGCAAGGAGCAAGCAGTCTATTACCTTAGTAGGTTTTTAAACTCTTGTGAATGTAAATACTGAGCTATTAAAAAACTGTGTTTAGCCTTGTACTTTGCATCAATAAAATTAAGATATTATCTTTTGCCTACTGTTGTCTTGGTAATTGCAACTACAAATTTGGTTAAGTATATGTTATCTAGACCTATATTAAGAGGAAGAATGGGCAAATGGATTTTAGTTTTGTCGGAATTTCATTTGGAATATGTTCCCCAAAAGATAGTAAAAGGTCAGGTATTGGGCAACTTCTTAGCTAATCATCCATGCCAAACAGAGAATCAAGAAATAATGGAACTTGACACAACAGATTTGGAGCCATGGCAGATGTTGTTCGATGGATCAAAGGCTAATGGCCTGGTGGGAATCGGTGTTGTGATTAAATCACCCCAAGGGAAAGAAACCACACATGGTTTCAGAATTGATGAGACTGCTTGTTCCAATAATCAAGCTGAGTACGGGGCCTTGATTATGGGACTTAAAATACTTATTGGTTTACAGGCTCATGCAGTTGATATATTTGGAGATTCTCAATTGGTAACTAATCAAGTAAAAGGAAATTTCAAATGTCAAAGTACAGGCATATTGCCATACTACGTGGCTGCTGTACATTTGCTTTCTTATTTTCAAGTGACAAATGTAACTTACATCCCAAGATTCATGAATCACAAGGCCAATGATGTGGCCTAGAAAGCTTCGAATTTCATAAGAATGGATAATGCTCAAATAGACATGAACCAAACAACATACCAGAAACTGATACCCCATCTAGCAAAATAAGGTATATTGGTAGAAGCCAATCAAAATGACTTGGAAGAGCAGGATTGGAGACATCCAATCATTCAATATTTGACTAGTTCTTTTTCTAAGGCCAGCAGAAAGCTTAAACTACAGTCAATGCAGTACATAATGTATGGGAATGCTCTTTATAAAAGGGGGACAGATGGTCTTCTATTAGAGTGTTTGGGACCAAAAACAGTATTAACTACTATGGCTGAAGTGCATAAAGGCATTTGTGGTGCTCAGTAGCTTGGGGTTAAGATGAGATGGTTGCTTCGAAGGCATTCCTAATATGCAAGAAATTTCCAGGCATGCCAGAAGCACAGTATAATAAGACATGTTCCAATAACTAATTTACATGCAGTGGTGAAGCCCTGGCCATTTAAAGTATAGGCAATAGACATGATAGGAAAAATTTACCCACATTCTTTGAAACAACACTGTTTCATTCTAATGGCTACAGACTATTTTACTAAGTGAGTTGAGGCTAAGCTCTATAAGACTGTCGATCAGACAGAGGTGATTGACTTTATTAAGGAATTAATTTATAAGTTTCGTGTGCCACAGACCATAACAGTGAATAACGGGACTGTGTTTGATGGAAAGCTAGTAAAACCTTCACAGCAGAATTTGGAATTTGTCTTGTTAATTCCACCCCTATTATGTACAAGCAAATGGCCAAGCAGAATCATCTAACAAATCCTTGAAAAATGGAATATAGAGGGTTGTTGAGGACAATCCTAGAGATTGACATAACTCATTGTTAGAAGTATTATTGGCTTATAGGACTTCCCAAAGATCAAATACTGGAGTTACTCCTTATGCCTTGGTATATGCGCAGGATACAGTATTATCTGTTGAGATCAATATAAAGTCCTTAAGGGTCAAATGCTAGGACCATCTAAATGCTGATCAGTATCATCAAAACATGCATTTGGAGTTAGAGGATGTGGATGAATCTAGAATTTTGGCATTAAATAATATCCTTTTGCAAAAGAAAAAGGCAGCCAAAAGCTATAATAAAAGGGTTCAACACATCATCTTTGATAAGTGGATTTGGTATGGAAAACAATACTTCCAATAGAAATTAAGAGCAAAAAATTTGGCAAATGGTCACCTAATTGGAAGGGACCATACCAAGTTCATAGGGTCTTGCCTGGAGGAGCCTACTGTAGCTCGACTTTTTCTCGCCCCTTTTCGGAAGTCGAAATAAGCCCTATAGTTCGGACTCCCGCGGTTCTGAATCTAATCTCACAAGTGCAATGTGAAATAGATAAACACCAAAGAGTCCAAATCTGGCAAATCTTTTGGAAAATCAATTTTGAATCAAATTGTCAGAAATGGAGTGCTTTGCTAGATACAAAGTCGCCACCTAAATATTTTTGAGAAATTTAGGAAACCCATGACTCGTGTCAAAGGCCACGTGTCTGTCATCACCAAGATTGTCTTGGCTCGGGAACTTAGGTACAAGAGGGGAAGGTCATGAATTAATTGAGCACCCCCCGCTCGGCCGATCAAAGATCAGCCTCTACTAATCATGATATGAATTTTATTTACATTATATGCTCTTGTTCCGGTTTATTAGGCTAGCATTACTATGCAATGCGCACACACACAAGTATAGACTAACTTTGCAAGAATTTGGAACATTTCGATTCATGTTTGTTTTGAAAATTGTTTCGAATGTGTACCACTTGAAAAAGTGATTGCATATAAACATTACTTAAATTATTCCAACTCAAGCAACAAGCCTTTATCCACAGACATACAAGCAGTTATAACAACTAAGCATTTAGCCTCATGGTAGTCATGCTAGATATGGCATCATTCACATACATGAGATATGCTAAAGCGAGTAAAGGCCCACCTAGTACTCCAAGCCAAAAAAAGAATGAGTTAGAAAAATGCATGATTCTTAACTATGCGATATGACTAATGCAACGCATACGATATGCAATCTAAATAGGCTCGGCTACTAATATGGCATATGAATCAATTTGATAGCATGCGGTCTAAACACGTATTCAGAGAAGTATTAGATAATCAATGCAGTTAGAATGATTAACCAAGCCTCGGTGCATGCAATACAAATGGATGCAAACATGGAGTATGCTAAACAAAACGTGATGGCCCTAAACTAACCATCATATCTTCCAAAACAAATCCTTGCAGGCTCGTGGAACTAGGCTGCCTTTTTCCTGCAAAACTAATCTCAGCAATTCTCTCCTTTGACTGACAATGATACTCTTGATCTCTTTAATGGATTCTTCTGCAGTAACAGTCTCACCACTGCCATCAACCATGTACAATGATACAACATTCAATTTACCTTCCTTGGATTCCCTCTGCAATACCATACACTTACCAATTAAGCAATCGACAAACTTGAAAAGCTGATTTGTGAAACTGATCATAACAACAACAGACAGCACACTATTAATACCTCAAAGCTGTGGATATCATTCAGAAGACGCCCAAAAGTGCTCATAACCTTGTATAGATTTTGGTATTCAGAACTACAAACAACCTCCTCTGAGAGTACAGGCCCAACTAAATAAAGAGCTGGGAGGACAATTGGTCCCAAGGCAAACGATACGAAGCCATTGGTCATATATGCATCCCTTGTTGGCACCGACTTGTCACTAACCCATTTAGCTTCTCTCAACATAGAATTCATCAAACTCAACCACCGCCAAAAGATAACATAACTTATCATCTTTAGTTTGAATAATGAAATAAGGTCCAACCTCGCTTTACATTCTGTATTAACATCCCACTGATGGTTGGTTCCACCAAAAGTGAATACAAAATGAAATATGATTTCATCCCACACTAAATTAAAGGTCAGATAAATCATAAACTATAAATTATGGTACGCATGGGAAACAGACAATATATATTTTGCAACCTTTCCAGCAATTGTAGGAATGAAAATAAGGGGAAAATGACAGCCAAAAAATTCCAATGGACATGCAAAATCGAACGTGAGATAAAAAAGATAGGGAGTGCAGGATCATGTCATCAAATCCAAAATGCCCCTACTAAATATCCAAATACAACCTTAAAGTATTGCCTGATTGTTGGATGCCTATAAAACTAGAGAAAGGAAGTTCTGCAAAACCTGCTACAAGGTTAGCAATGCATACTTGTACAACACAGAAAGCAAGTTAAACAAAAAAACATGTCCATAAACAAGCATTGACTACAGGAGGTAGAGATGGTTGGTGCCCAATGCCCATATGAACTTTTTGAAAAGGTAGAGGAAACAAGAATTGAGGACTAGAAAATTTCATTTTAACTCCCATGGAACAAAGATGAGTAACTCCACCTGCTGGAGAGAGTTAAGGTTTCAAGTGTAAGGAATAAGGGCAAGGGAAAGACCAGAGTGTAAGCATGTAGCCACTAGCCACTAGCTACTCACACATTAAAGCACTTCAAGGACCTCAAAACAGCAATTTCAAAAACCAAACACATCGCAGTGCCAAATGGGGCTGTATGTCGTCACAATCATAGCAGAAGTTCAATACAACCAACTAATAAAAACATAACTAGAGTTATGAATCTATCTCACAATGTCAATTATGTGGCTTGTCACACTGCGACCCTGAATTGTGAAGGCCTTGGCTCCAATCTCAGATATTGTGCTTTGAAGTGCAGAAAATATGATCTGAACATGCTCAGAACAACAATCAACAGCAACATCGACATCCCATCTGTGATTCATAGCACACTATCACGTTTCTGCAGCAAAAACCCACTAAGAGAATCTACAGAAATAATGGACCAACAAATGCTCCAAACAAAAGAAGGGCGAAACAGAAACACACTTTTCAACCAACTGAATTAGGTTCTCTAATTCCTCTATAGAACCACCAACATCAAAGAAGTCATCAACCACTGTTGTGAGAATGCCATTTTTTGCCCATGATATGCGAGCATCAGATAGTTCAGGAGAGAAAAGGGAGGCTGCAGCAGAGAAGTAACAGTACGCAGTCTTTTGCCTGGCAAACTTTAGCTTGTCTAGTCTGTTCTCTACAACCCAACTGCTGACATGGAAAGCACACTACAATTCATTTACACATCTGATATTTCATATTAAAAAATGCTATCTACCATGAAGCTTTACCTTGAAAATTACCCTGAATATGAAATGTATGGTATAGATTTGAAGTTGGCGGAATGTGGGCCACACCGAAAATAAATGTGGTTAGACGTACTTTTCGGGTATGTAGTATTGTTGTTTTATATTCCCAAACAATTAAAGCATGAAACTAAATCCATGATTCCATGGACTCAACACTTTTGGCACGACCAGTTACCAATTATTAATAACACACAATGCAAAGCCAATAATATTTCGTGGCTATATCAGTTTATGCACCTCTCAAGATATTTGAGTTCTTCACAGTGTATGGATTGGCAAATATTGAAATCTTCCACAGCCAGAGTTAGGAAATCTTCATTTCTAATGTTTGATGAGCTGGCATAAGAACAGTAAACAATCAAGAAGTAAACAAATATCAACTATCAGTGATTGTTAACAGCTGAGAGGAAAACAAGGGGGAAAATTTTAGTCTCCACCTTGAGATAAAAATAAAAAGGAAATACTACCAGAGATCTACCAATATGAAGTTTTTAGAATTCTTGTACTATCTGCATTGTAATGTTCTATGTATCTTCTGTTTGCTGCACGATCTAAATTTGCATGGAAGGGAAATTTAAGTGTGTCATCCACCTGAAAATGAAGAATCTTCACTATTTGACATGGGTTATATCAGGTAGACAAAACGAGACTGTTCAAATAAATATTTCAGATGGGCTTGACCATTTCCAAAGTATTACAAGAAGCTACCTCTTGGCTAACAAACTTATCAAGTCCATGTGCATGAATTTTACAATTGTATAATTTCTGTTTCAGGAAATGACTGGACCATGAGTGTTGTTTCTCCAGAGCTGACTCATCTGGAAATATAATGATCTGTGAAGCTCTGCATAACTCAAGGGCATCACCAATTTCCTTTTGATGTCCAGAGAGGAAACTAGATTCATGCTTTCCTTTGGTTATTTGTGTTAAGGGATCTACACATGTCAAAGGGGTTCAACTTTTAGTAAGCAAAAGAAAATCATGAAATGACATTATGCCCTAGTATGCTAATCAACAAAGTACCTGAAGAGACGTCATACCCATTAAGACGCAGTATCCGAAATGCCATGGCACAAGTGGCAATGTCCAGGAATATCTCTTCCTCCCCCTGCAGCCAGCATCTTTTTTTTTTTTTTTTCAATATTCAATGACATCAGAAAAGCAGGTTGAAGTGATAAGAAAAAGTAAATTACTTTCAAATATCATAAGTGTCACATGTATATGAGTAGAAGAGTACCCGTATGTTTCATCCAATACACTTTTGATTTCCTGCCTAAAATGCCGCTCAATTCCCAAACTTTCGAGACTGTCAACCATGCAAAGACGCGCATATATATCCAGAGGGTAAACTGTCGGAACTGAAGAGATGAATTCAACATAACCAACTGAGGGTTAGCAATATAGAAAGTAAATACATAAACTATAGACTAATGTGAAGGGAGTTACCAGCATTCCCAAACTTCTCCAAGAGTAAGCGCAGGTAATTAAGACAACCAGCATCCTGAAGGTGCATAGAAGCAGCTGCTGTGGTTGATGGGGAATTGAACAGTGAGCCATTCTTCCTCTGATATTTCAAGACCATTTCCCAGTCCTGTAACTTCCCCATTCCTTCTGAAATATATGCTAGGTAAGATTTCCTTTCCTCTGAGTAGCCTCCTCTAAATGAAAACAAATTTCAAACAAATCTAGGTAAATTACGGGGCCTAGTTCACCACATGTAAATCGAGTTATTTAATCTGATTCAATTTTGTTTAGTGCCATTTATTTTTTTCTTCTTTCTTATAGAAAATAAAATTAGCTACCGAAAACTTTGTGATCCTTTTTTATTCAAGCTATTCCAAGCACCAGGAAGGAACTGTTGTTCCAAGTCAACCAAAGTTTGAGTAGTGTTGTAAGCTTGAATTCTTCAATATTTAGCTTGGCCAAGTCTCATGTGTTTCATATTTGTGGTCAGAGATCATAAATACAGTCAAGGTATCCCAAAAAATAAATCACCAAACAATGAAAAAAAATATACCTTCTGAGCTCTAACTCCCTCATGTGACGCATGGCATCTAAATCTTTTGGTTCAAAAGGGAGGTTCAAGTTTAAATCTTTGGCAAACTCAAGCATTCCAGGGAATATTATGTCAAACCCAATTGGAGAATGTTGATTCTCATCGGTAGCTGAAGTGATATTCAACTCAATAAAACGTAGACCTGCAACAAGAAATGCATACCTATCCAGTGAACATATATGAAGGGGAGTGAGCCAGATGAACACAGTGAATACCTTTGTTGATTTGCTCTTCACCAACACCCCATCGCTTAAGTGCTAGGATAGATGCTAATGTAGACGACAGGGCATCTTTAATTAATAAGGGATGACGATGAGGAAGACCCCATGAGCCATCGCTGAGCTGATTATCCAATAACCAACCAATACACTCCGGGAAACAAGGGGTCCCAAAAGAATTTGGAGAAGGGACCAACGCTACCCAAGCTGTGTCATATGAAGAAACAGAAAGCTGGACCTCATTGAACAGTTTCTTAATTCTTTCTTTAGTCCCATCAAAGTACTGCATGTAGTTTTACATATTATCAATTAACTTACTCTTGGATGTACGCGGTGTTGGAATGGTTATAAAATTCTGGATAAAACCAGAATTTTTTCCTAAGTTCGGTCTATTTTTTAGGTGGGCCCCGAGTGTCGATTTACTCGGGTAAAAGTGGTAACGCGTTCTATGCCGCGTTGTGATTCACGTGGTATATTTGGTTGCTCAAAACCATTACCGAGTGAATGGGAAATTGAAGCCAAAGTGTGCTCCATGAAAATGGAGTTTTGGTGGAAATTCCTTAAGGTTGTAAATTGGCTTGTCCCACATTGATTTGGTGGGAGGTTTTGAAAGGGTTTATAAGGCTTAGGGTGAGATACTTGGGGTGTGCCCCAAGGGGTACCCAAGTGTTTTAGAGGGAGAGGTTATGGGCAAAATGGGCTAGACCCATTGGACCCAAAAATCACCACACACGCGCGCGGTTATTTGTGTTAAGGGATCTACACATGTCAAAGGGGTTCAACTTTTGGTAAGCAAAAGAAAATCATGAAATGACATTATGCCCTAGTATGCTAATCAACAAAGTACCTGAAGAGACGTCATACCCATTAAGACGCAGTATCCGAAATGCCATGGCACAAGTGGCAGTGTCCAGGAATATCTCTTCCTCCCCCTGCAGCCAGCATCTTTTTTTTTTTTTTTTTCAATATTCAATGACATCAGAAAAGCAGGTTGAAGTGATAAGAAAAAGTAAATTACTTTCAAATATCATAAGTGTCACATGTATATGAGTAGAAGAGTACCTGTATGTTTCATCCAATACACTTTTGATTTCCTGCCTAAAATGCCGCTCAATTCCCAAACTTTCGAGACTGTCAACCATGCAAAGACGCGCATATATATCCAGAGGGTAAACTGTCGGAACTGAAGAGATGAATTCAACATAACCAACTGAGGGTTAGCAATATAGAAAGTAAATACATAAACTATAGACTAATGTGAAGGGAGTTACCAGCATTCCCAAACTTCTCCAAGAGTAAGCGCAGGTAATTAAGACAACCAGCATCCTGAAGGTGCATAGAAGCAGCTGCTGTGGTTGATGGGGAATTGAACAGTGAGCCATTCTTCCTCTGATATTTCAAGATCATTTCCCAGTCCTGTAACTTCCCCATTCCTTCTGAAATATATGCTAGGTAAGATTTCCTTTCCTCTGCGTAGCCTCCTCTAAATGAAAACAAATTTCAAACAAATCTAGGTAAATTACGGGGCCTGGTTCACCACATGTAAATCGAGTTATTTAATCTGATTCAATTTTGTTTAGTGCCATTTATTTTTTTCTTCCTTCTTATAGAAAATAAAATTAGCTACTGAAAACTTTGTGATCCTTTTTTATTCAAGCTATTCCAAGCACCAGGAAGGAACTGTTGTTCCAAGTCAACCAAAGTTTGAGTAGTGTTGTAAGCTTGAATTCTTCAATATTTAGCTTGGCTAAGTCTCATGTGTTTCATATTTGTGGTCAGAGATCATAAATACAGTCAAGGTATCCCAAAAAATAAATCACCAAACAATGAAAAAAATATACCTTCTGAGCTCTAACTCCCTCATGTGACGCATGGCATCTAAATCTTTTGTTTCAAAAGGGACGTTCAAGTTTAAATCTTTGGCAAACTCAAGCATTCCAGGGAATATTATGTCAAACCCTATTGGAGAATGTTGATTCTCATCGGTAGCTGAAGTGATATTCAACTCAATAAAATGTAGACCTGCAACAAGAAATGCATACCTATCCAGTGAACATATATGAAGGGGAGTGAGCCAGATGAACACAGTGAATACCTTTGTTGATTTGTTCTTCACCAACACCCCATCGCTTAAGTGCTAGGATAGATGCTAATGTAGACGACAGGGCATCTTTAATTAATAAGGGATGACGATGAGGAAGACCCCATGAGCCATCGCTGAGCTGATTATCCAATAACCAACCAATACACTCTGGGAAACAAGGGGTCCCAAAAGAATTTGGAGAAGGGACCAACGCTACCCAAGCTGTGTCATATGAAGAAACAGAAAGCTGGACCTCATTGAACAGTTTCTTAATTCTTTCTTTAGGCCCATCAAAGTACTGCATGTAGTTTTACATATTATCAATTAACTTACTCTTGGATGTACGCGGTGTTGGAATGGTTATAAAATTCTGGATAAAACCAGAATTTTTTCCTAAGTTCGGTCTATTTTTTAGGTGGGCCCCGAGTGTCGATTTACTCGGGTAAAAGTGGTAACGCGTTCTATGCCGCGTTGTGATTCACGTGGTATATTTGGTTGCTCAAAACCATTACCGAGTGAATGGGAAATTGAAGCCAAAGTGTGCTCCATGAAAATGGAGTTTTGGTGGAAATTCCTTAAGGTTGTAAATTGGCTTGTCCCACATTGATTTGGTGGAAAG